ATTAGGATGACCAGTAAGTATATAACAACATATACCAGCATTATTAACTGTTAGGAATATATAATTTTAAAATGAATGACAAAATGCCACTGTATAATTATTAGAATGGCTGAAATAAGAGATATTGGCAATAACAGCTATCGAGGATGTAGAGCACCTGGGACTCTGATACATTGCTATGGTAGAGGTGTTGCACAGTGGTATAGTTATTCTGCAAATGGCTTCATAGTTTCTTTTAAAATTAATCTATACTTAGTATATGATGTGGCTGTTCTGCTGCAGGTATTTGCCATTAAGAAATGAAAATATGCTAACACAAAAACCTGTTAATAGCAGTTTTATTTATTATAGCCAAAAGCTGGAAACCAAGTGTTCTTCAGTAGGTGAGTGGATAGGCAAACTCTAGTAATTGACATAGTGGAGTATTACTTAGCAGTTAAAATGAATGACAAGCTCATTCACACACATTATTTGGATGAATGTCAAAGGTATTATGTTGAGTAAGTGATTCTAGTCTCAAAAGGTTGCATATTGTATGGTTCCATTTATTTAACCTTCTTGAGAAGATGAAACAAATAGAAAACCAGGTAGCTACTGAAGTTATAGAGAAGGTAAAAGTGTAGGTATAAAGGGATAGTACAAGGGGAGTTTGAGGCAGTGGTAGAACTATTCAGCATCCTCATTGTAGTGGTGAATCTATAGCTGTGTGTTCAAACTTGTAGAACCCCAAATGAAAAAAATTCAGCTTTATTGTATAATAGTAAACAAGTAAAAAGTAAAGAAGGCATCAAAAGAAGGTTAAAAAGATAAAAAAAGTAAGCCACAGACTTGGGGGAAATATTTTCAAAACCTATTTTTCTTTTGTTTTTCAAATCATATTTTCCAATATGAAACTTGTATCCATAATTCATAAAGCTCTCTTAAAATTAAAATATATGACATGATTTAAAGCATGGCAAAAATTTGAATGAGTAGATTTTGCCAACAAATATATGGTATGGTCCATAAGCACATAAAAAGATGCTCAGAATCCTTACACTTTAGAGAAAGGTAAATTAAAACTACAGTCAGGTACTACTCTTTAAAATAGGTATAATAATAAGATGATAAAAAATGTAGAACTTATATGCTATAACTCTCGTACATTGCTAGTGTGACTATAAAATGGTATATAGGTTTCTAAGTTAAAAACAGTTGTATAGTTTTAAAAATACTATGTATAGATTTATCATATAATATAGCAGTTTGTCTCCTAGATATCTATCCTAGAGAAATGAAAATATTTCCATTCAAAATTGTATGAAGATGTTCACAGCAGCATTATGTACAATAGTAATAAGGTGAGACAATGCGAATATATGTCACTTGGTAAGTAGAAGTTATGGCTTGTATTTAGATGTTTTCCCAAGCCTCGCATGCTTATAGGTGGTGTTTTTTGAAGCTGGCTAGATACAGGGTATGGGATACTGGGATTAAAGGTATGTGATATTAAATTGGTCTACTGACAGGAATTTGCATTGTTCTGGCTATGGGTAATGTAAAAGCCCACCAGGGATGTGGGTTGCACCACCCAAAATGCTTGTAGTCTGATGGGATAAAAGGGAAAAGGAGGCTTGCTTTGTAGTGCTTCTGCTTGCTGCTGCAGCTTCCTGCCTGCTCTGCTGTGAACTTTTTCCTCTTCCATGCCCCTCTGCCATGCTGCCCTGCCTTGGAGACAGCCAAGTATGAAACTGAAACCTCTTCAAATTGTGAGCTGAAATAAACTGCTTTTTATAAACTTGTGGGTATCAGATATTTTGTGCCAGCAACAAGAAAGTAACCAAGAAAGTGAACAAATAATGCATGATATATCTAAATGAAAAACAGTTGAACAGTTTTAAAAATATTAAGTATAGATTTATCATATGATATTACAGTTTCTCTCTTAGATATCTATCCTAGAGAAATGAAAACATTTCCATTCAAAATTGTATGAAAATGTTCATGGCAGCATTATGTACAATAGTAGAAAGGTGAGACAATGAAAATATTTGAATTACTGTGCAGGAACAAAAAGGAATGAAGTACTGCTATGTACCTACAACATGCATGAACTTTGAAAATACTATGCTCAGTGAAAGAAGCCAGACACAAAGACTACATATTGTATGATACTATTTATATGAAATGTTCAGAAAAGTTAAATTTATCAAGGCAGAAATTAGATTAGTAATGGCCTGGGAAAGAGAGTAAGAATCAGGCAGTGACTACAAATGAGAACAATCCAAAGTCAGATTGTGGGGATAGTTTCACAGCTCTGTGAATATATTAAAAATCATTGAATTGTACATAAAAATGTATCCCAATAAAATTGTTTTTAAATAGTGAATGTATTTTGTTACATATTTCAAATAAACAACAAAAATACTTTGAATGATTTTTTTCTTAAATAAACTATAATATGTGACCATAATAACAGCATAGTGTTCTAGATTATAGAGAAATAGTCATGTATGTGGGCTAGAAAGAGAAGTAACTATGTATGTAGACCAGAAAAAAATAGCACAGAAGATGTCAGCTAATGAAGAGAGAATCACTGATTTAAAAAATCCATAAACTTTTATGAAAAACAAATCTGAATGGAATTCCTTCGACATTTGATGTGGCTAAAGCCAAAATGATGAGTTCAAAGGTGCAAACATTCAAGATGTTTAAACTTGTGGGTATTCAAATACTCACTTTACTTCTATTAGTATATTGTATTGATGGTATACAATTGCCAACTTTTCTATTTTTTAAAAGATATAATCCAAAACAAGAAAAGCCTATATCTAGTTAATGTATATGCCCATTCCAAAATTGGTACTATGAGGAAAGAATACAATTATGAGCCACATGGGACTTAAAAATCCCACAGGGTAATCAAAGAAACAAGCCCCTATTATTCCAGTGCCAGTTTCCCTTTAGTAACAGAGGCTGCTAAGAGCACAGTTGAACAAGTGGACAGAGGGTGAGCTGAAATTTTAAACAGCCTGAACAGAAGACTGAAACTAAAAACCATAAGTGTTTACCTTTATTTCACTCATGAAGACAACTGGAACCATTTGCATTATGTGATTTTTTTTAACCAAAGCAATCTCTTTTTGGTAAAGATGAACATGATTTTATAAAACTCTAATTTTTCTAATACAACTTTAAACTTTTTAAAATTGTCTCCTATTTAGTCAAGTTACAGCTAAGAATCTCATTTTAAACTTGTAAAAAAAGCTTTAAAGACTTGATAGTTTCATAAAAGTAAATAATATAAGTATCTGTTAATACAGGCCTATAATAATGATAATGTATCACAGACACATTTGGGCTTAAATAACTTTCTAGATTTTATATATGATTTGCTATTCAATGTCTCATGAATTCATATATATCTAGGTGACCTTGTAGAATATTGTATAGTGTGTTAGTCATCTGTTACTGTAACAAAATACCTGAGATAATTAACTTAAGTAGAGGAAGGGTTTATTTTGGCTCATTGATTTAGAGGCTTTAGTTCTTGACTGATTGGTCCCATTGCTTGGGCCTTGGCAACACATAATGGTGGCGGTGTGTGGTGGAGTGAAACTGTTCAGCTCAGGGTTAGGAATGATAAGCAGGGAGAGGAAGAAGAAGAAGAAAAAGGAGGAGAAGGAGAAGAAGAAGGAGGAGGAGG